GAGTGGGAAGGGACCCCCCAAGGGCCATCTAGCCCAACCCCACCGCAATGCAGGAATCGCAGCTAAAGATTCCTGACGGAAACTGTTTGAAAACCTCCAGCCAAGGAGAACCCGCCAACTTCCAGGGGACTCCATCCGCTGTCAAACAGCTGTTACTTGTCAGAAAGTTCTTCCTAATGTTTGGAATCTCCTTTATTGTCTTTTGAATCCATTGGGTGGGTTCTTATTGTGGGGATCAGTGGGGTTAAGCGTGGGGGGGAGTCCCCCCCCCCAATCCCTGGAACTTTTCGCCAAACCCACTTACAACGGGAGGCTAGGAAAAGTTCTTCCTCTAGCTAACAGAGTGCTACAACCAGACCCAGGTTACGCTAGCTAGCAGTAGCACCCCAGTAATGCTTCTTCCCATTTACGGCTTGGCTCACTTGCTTAAGTTGCCTGTTAGCTGTTCTCTCTGCTTGTTGAGAAACGTCACAGGTTCATTGCATCAGAGAAAGCTTCCATGGAGTAGAGCCTGTTTTGTTAGATACTCTTCTGTGTTGGCTCTACATTAATTTTGTATGTGGGGGTTGATGGAGGCAGGGAAGCATTCCCGTCTTGCTTTTGGGGTGCTGGGTTTGATGGCCCATTTGGTCTGTTGGTTCTCATAATCCTTCTACCCACTTGCAGAGGCCTCGTGAAGTTTGTGACAGGTAAAGGTAAAGGGACCCCTGACCATTAGGTCCAGTCGTGACTGACTCTGGGGTTGCGGCGCTCATCTCACTTTATTGGCCGAGGGAGCCGGCGTACAGCTTCCGGGTCATGTGGCCAGCAGGACTAAGCCGCTTCTGGCGAACCAGAGCAGCGCATGGAAACGCCGTTTACCTTCCCGCCGGAGCGGTACCTATTTATCTACTTGCACTTTGAGGTGCTTTCGAACTGCTAGGTGGGCAGGAGCAGGGACTGAGCAACAGGAGCTCACCCCGTCGCGGGGATTCGAACCGCCGACCTTCTGATCGGCAAGTCCTAGGCTCTGTGGTTTGTGACAGAATAGGGTGCTAATGCCACTCCAATGTGCCGGCCATTCCCAGAACCATCCTCAAACACTAGGAGGAGGACATTCAATCCATGCTTGCTGTTCCTGTTTTTCAATGAGATTTGAAAACACTAATCTGACGTAGGCGGGAGATGTTCTGTGGGTTTGGAGGCCATGCCTGTTTGGGGTGGGAAGTCTGTAGGATGTATGAATTAGGGAGTTTAAAATGTCACTGGAATTTTTTTTCTGGTCCTTCCTTGACCCTGCCCTGAGGCAAGTGAAGGATCCTGTGTTCCAGTAGCAGAAAGGATACCATGATGCTGACTGCCCCCCCCTCAAATCCACAGGGGTGTGACGCTCTGGAGTCTCCTGATGTTGGTGGAGGCTATGCTGGGTGTTGTTGGTGGGGTTTATTATTTGTTCCAGGTCATGCCCGAGCAACCGAGAAGTTGGGAGGTGGAGATTGGGAGCATAAGATACGCGTCCCTTGTTGTCAGGAGTTATTTTTAGGAGAATGACCGGTCCTTCGTGTATGTTCCGAATACACAGAAACATTCCCGATCCCGGGGGTGCATTGGGGAAGAGGGAGAATGCAAAGTTGCTCTGCCTCTGGGTCCTATCGAAGGACAGGCTGTTGCGTTCTCTTCTTGGGAGCACAAGATGGGTAAAACGATACCGCTTATTTGGGTCAGCTGAGGTGGACGTATACAGACTTCTTTGAGTCCCCTTCATATAGCGGTCGGGCAAATTTTCTGGTATCCGTGGAGCGTGCTGTGGCCTGAAACCATTCCTGTGGCTGATTGTAAATGCTTCCCAAATACTCATCCATTGTTAAGAAGGTAATGGAGGCAGCAGTGCTTGGTGGGGTGTGTCCTGGTGCTGTGGAAAGTGTTTGGCTTTTTCGTGTTTGGCTTTACACTGAACAAAGAAAAACGTGTGTTGTATTCGTGAACTTGGATAGTGGCAGTGCTCCCCCGCCCCCTGCTTTGCCCATGGCATGTTCTTAAAAGCTTGGACGTTCTCCTAATATCCTCACAAAATGTCATTTTTTTATTTTTTAAAAGGGGTGGATAGGTTTCCAGGCTGTCTGTTCAGAGAGGGGCCCTTCCACCTGACCTTGAATCCTGCCGCAGTTTAAACAGTTCAGAAGCTGTCCAGCTTGGTGCTATCTAATCCCTCAGGTGGCACAATGGGTCCAGCTGTTAAACAGAAGGTTGGTGGTTCGAGCCCAGCCAGGGACGGCTGTTGTCCAACTCTGTGATCATATGATTCTCTGAATATTTGGGAGAGAGGTTAGGGGGGCGGGGAATGTGACTGCTAAATTCTAGGGAAATTGACTTTGTTCTAAATTATGTTCTCAGTTTCCAGGAAAGGCCGTTTAGCCATTTAGCCTACTCTCTACCAGTGAGCAGAATCTCTGGTGCTGCAATTGTGGCATTTGGGAACTGAGGAGGGTTCCGCCTGTCCTATATGACCTTAGTTCTTGCCCTCCCCTTTCCATGGGATGTTAGGGCCTGCAGTTACCAAGGACAGGGTAAGGGCCTTGATTCAGTGGTAGAACATCCGCTTTGCATGCAGAAGGCTCCTGGTTCTGATGGCATCTCCGGACAGGGCTGGGAGAGAACCCCCTCTCTCTTTCCAGAAACCTTGGAGTGCAGCTGCTGCCAGTCAGTGCAGTCAGTACTGAGTGAGACGGACTGCTGGTCTGACCCTGCTTAAGGTGGCTTCCTATATGCCTGGGTTGTGTGCAATAGCCCCTTCTTTGGATTTCTTTACTGATGGTGATCCTGAGCTGCCGTTCCTTTGCTTCTCCCCCTACACTGCGTGGCTTGGCTCACTTCCTTGAGTTGCTCAGGCTGGAAGCAGCTCTTGCAGGGTGTCCACTTTTCCTCTCGGCACCCACTGATGTCTGGGTTGCTTGGGCAGAGTGGCAAGGGAGGAGACTGGTCCCCTCGGGCTCGAGGCTGGACCAGATAGCCTTTGACTTGGACCCTGTGTGACTCTGTCTCAGGTATGGGTGGCAGCACCTATCTCTCTCTTGCTGTGGCAGTTCCTTCAGTTCTGCTTGCGGGTACCTTGGAGTAACCTTCTGTGGCTGAGGCTGCTGAGTTTTACACCCAAACGTCTTGGAAAGCCTCCACTCCCTCCCCCACCTGTTGCCCAAATTGGTTACCAAACATGGATTTTGGAGTTCCTCCTTTTCCAACACGGCTACCTTGAACTTCTTGTGCTGCTTTTCTAACAGGTTTCCCCAACTGCCTTGGTGTGCGTGTGTGATCATTGCCTCTTGTGTGTGTGTGTGTGTGTGTTTATCTGTCCAAGCCGTTCCCATCTGCCTTGGCCTGTTGTAAGCAAAAGCCCTCCTGATCCTGTCTCTCATGACTGCTCTTTGAGGTCCAGGCAGCTGATCAAATATCCCCTGCTTTGCCAGAAAGCCTCTGGGTAGAGGGAGAGTCGCAATGCCCCGGCAAAAAGCTTTGCTCAGCTAGCTTGGCATGGGAACTTGCCTGCTTCATCATGCGCTGCACATTGCCTTCCCTGTGAATGCATGGACAATACAGAAAAACAAATCCACCTTCTCTTTCTTTCTCCCCCTCTCTCCTTCTCTCTTTCTCCCCCCCCCCCGCCCCCGTTTCTGTGGCCAGTTCTGCAAGTCAAGGATCTATTTCACCAGTAGCAATTAGGTCTGCTGTGTGTCTCCCTATGGTATCTTCCTATAATGCTAGGCTGCACTTGGGAGGGTTCTCTTCAAGGTAGTGGCTGTCCAGCTGTCTTGGCTGCTGAGGGGGTGTGGAGGAAAGTGATTCCACCCCCCGGCCAGCTTGCTTTGTGAAGGTCTTGTGGGCCTTGCCCTGCTTCAGAACATAGCCATCCTGGTTAGTAGCCATAGATAGTCCTCTCCTCCTCCATGCATTCGTCAAATCCTGTTCAGGCATGGCCAAATCCTGTTCAGGACCAGTGGTTAGGGATGATGGGAATTGTAGCCCCAAAACATCTGGAGGGCCAAGTTTGACCATGTCTGCTGTAGATAGCCTTTGACACCTCCAGTGCCCCCCTCTTGCCCCTAGGTAACCCCACTTCCCCCTTTGGGGAAAGCTGGTCTAGAGCCCTTCTCCCCAGGCCTCAGTTTCCCTGCCTCTGTCCAGGAATGGGGAAGGTTCTGTGAATGGCTGATTTGTCTAGTTTTGATGGGGTGGGGGAAATCCAGCGTTGTCATCCCTTGCCCGGGTGTGGCTCCTTCACAGCATCCCAAGCAGGCGCTAGGAAGACAGTGGCTGCCTGAGACTAGACATTGCCTCCTGTTAGACTCGCGCTCACAGTCCTGCCAAGGAGAAGCGAACTCTTTTTCCTGGACGTCAGTTCTTTGCTCTCTGCATAAATACTGGGAGTGCCATTTGATGTGCGCACACGGCAGACACAACAGCTGCCCTGGTGTTCTGACTGGCTCCTCCCCAGCTGAGTCAACCCTGTCATTCCACAGCCTGTCAATCCTTAGATTTGTTTGTGGCACTGTGAAGTCTTGGTCCTTAAATCTTTCAGCTCAACATGGAAGCAATCTCCATCTTGCCCTTCGCCTCACCCTCTCCGTCTTCATCTTTCCCTTTCTCCTCCCTCTGCTCTATCAACCTGAGCCAGAGGTGGTGATTTGATTAGACTGCGTTGGATTAAGACTTCGGAGAGACCAGGGTTCGAATCCCCACTTGTCCATAAAGCTCCCTGGGTGGCCTTGGAGGCCAGTCACAGCCTCTGATCCCAACCAATCTTCTGATGTTCTTATCCCTTTGGCCTAACACGGTTGCTTTCTTTCAGCACCTGCCTGAAGCTTGATGAACGTACTGGGATCATTCTGAGGCAGATTTCCTGGCAGCCCTGAGAGGCTTTCTCCCTAGTAAAGTGATGCAGAATCATAGAATCATCGAATAGTAGAGTTGGAAGGGATCCCAAGGATCATATCGTCCAACCCCCTGCAATGCCGGAATATGCAGCT